TCTTTCCCTCCCAAACCTAAACACACAAAACCATAGCAAGTTCTTGACCTAATTCTAATTTTCTCTTGAAATCAGCAACCCCAAATAGCTTTTCTATACCAACAATCAATCTCATACACCCTCTTTTACCGATAAAACCTAAAACCCAGTCATCCCACCGAGGAATCAAAAGCCGAAAGCTTGATCGAGAGGAAATGACACAATGTCGTTTATGAGAATTAACAAAGAGGGGTCCAGAAGATTTTAAGAGAAGACATGCGATGGAAAACTCGCCAAACACTACAAAGGTATACCGCTTTCGAGAAGAGGCAATCCAAATGGGTCACCCAACAAGTCGAGTGACTCTTGACCTTGGAATGTGTCTTTAAGTATCAGGACATCCAACATAATGAAATGGTGAAGCTAGCCGCCAACAAATTAAAGAAGAGTTAGCTATTTTGGTGGAAAATTTTGAAGCACAGACGCCAGCATGAAGAAAAATACAAAATCACTACTTGATCCAAGATGTCATGGAAGATGCAGTGCCAGTTCTTTCTAGCTCACTACAGACTGGATGTTTCGACACAAGCTTCATAAGAGAGGATACCACATCGTCGAGTGACTACCACATCTTACAGGCAGAATTCAGCCTAAAGATCTTACAAACAGAGTACAATCAAAAGCATACAAGCTGACCCCATCTGAGGAGACAATAGGTTAGAGTGAAATCCATCCAAGCTAGGAAGTGCTTCAAAAGTGTCACAGATTTGAGCATATTTAAGTAAAGTGCACAACCAGTGGGATGATATGTTCACTGAATAAGGAGTTGTTAAACAAAAAAAGCAATGACATTATTGAGACCGAAGAAGGTAAGAACACAAAGGAAGAGGATCAAATTCCAATGGACATGCAAGAAAAGCATGTAGCTCCAACTGAGGGCATAAGGGAGACTCCAACAGGATTTGCATTGGTGGTCCAAGATGGTCTCAAGTCCAAAGAACATACACCAAACACCTGACAACCTCAAATAAAAGAAGTACGGAGATTTCAAATAGAGAGACTCCTTTCTAAGTTGCCCCTACCAATAGAGGCCCAACATGTCAGAAATGGGCCACTTTTGTGTCATGTCGGGAAGATTACATGGAGTTATTGAAATATTAGATTCAGCTCAGTAGTGTACCCACAATCAGATGTTCGGATAGAAGAGGTCAACCACAATATTGGTAGTTTTTGTAGGAGCTTGGTGAGGAAGAAAATTCCTCAATAGGATCCAGGTCCAATCAATGAAAAGAAAGAGATTTCTCCTGAGTTATTGCTAGTGAGAGTGGTGCAGCTTGCTACAGATTTCACGCCAGAATTGATTTCTTCTCACATACTTGTTTATCAGCTACATTATGTTAAGAACAAAAAGTGGAAGAAGGATGTGTCAAAAGATGATGTATATTTATTCTATCAGGACATGTGGAATTACAACTCTTATAGGACCGACCTATCAAGGGAATACAATATCTTTGCTACTTTCAATGTAACGAATTTGAATCCGTAATACAACGAACCAGAAGCTTCCACAAATGGTTTTGAAGCTTCCCCAACCCCGGAAATTGACGGAGGACTCACTAGGGAAGAGCTGAACCGGTGGGAAAGTTGCTGAACC